GCCCTGGGGCCTCCTCTCTGCCCTGACAGCCCTCAACTGTGAACTCCCTGCTCACCCGTGAGGTCATCTAGGATTCCAGCTCCTGGCTGATGGGCCCCGTGCCCCACCCTCCCCCACACAGCTCAGGGGTCATCAGAACAACCCACGCAGCACTCCGGTGATCAGACCCTCACGGGGTCTTTGTGACCCAGGAGGACTGGGCTGGCACCTGCAGCCTGCTCATATGCCACCCTCCCCATCCCCAGCATGCCAAGCTGGTCCAAGGCTAAATTCCAGAGACACTGCTCCTTATGCTCTTGACTTCACCAGTCTCGTCTCCATCTCCTCAAAGCTCAGAAGCCACACGCTGAGCCTCAGCGCTCCACATGGAGAGTCTGAACACCCCACTCTCCCACTCTGATCGTAGTCTACATTACGGCGAGAAGCCTGATGGGGGCTGCAATGTCAGCCTTTTACTGATGGGAGAATGAGTCTTTGGCCTCCCCATTCTATTTTCCAACCCATCAAGCCTCTCTGGCTTTGCCCCCTTCCCTAGGGAGACGAGACCCAGGGCTCCACTGTTTGGGTCTCTCCCGCCCTGCAGCACCTCAACCCTGGAGAAGCCTCACCAGCCAACCCTGGCACTCCCGCACAACCCTGCTGAGCCCTGATGGAGAAAGTCTCACCACAGTGAGGGCTTATCATCACGGAATCCTCAAGCTCCAAATCCTGCCTGTGGAACCTGCTAGAGTTGTCTCGCTCCCACATCCCCTCGTGTGTACAACACCCTTTCATGCTTCTCCCCATACTGCCTTCTCCCCCTCAGAGAAATGCAAGACCTGCCCGTGAAAGTCTCCTACCTTCCCATCCAAACCCCTGAGGAGTCAGCCAGAACACCACCACCCTGTTCCCCTCTCCCGAACCCGTCTTCCTGTTTCCAAAGGACAGCCCTTCCCACCTGCCGCTCCTGTCCCTTCTCCAACAACTCCCCTCTCCTGCTGTGTGGGTGATGGAGAGGGAGTGAAGGGGGCACATAGGAAGAGCATCTTGTGGATAGAAACATTGGGTCTTGTTCTTGAACCTAGACGTCAGCATGAGGGTGATGGGAGCATCCCGTACGCTCAGGGACCTTGCCTATCTTATCTCACACCTTACAAACTACAAGTTCAAAAACAAGAACAACATTTGAACTCATCACTTTTCCTCCTAAACTCTCCCCTCTTCTCTTCCCATATCCCTCCTCCCCTTCTGGTTGCAATCCCAGAGGATGGTACCAGCCAGCATCCACCCAGCAGCAGCCTGACCCCTTGGCTGTCATTGCAGCAGCAGCCTGACCCCTACTGTCATTGCAGCAGCAG